CAAGGATAAACTTTGAACTTGTGTTTACTTTACTCACCTGTCTTGTAAAACACAGACCATATCATATCACCATAAGCCACAGAATTGCCCATGTCACTGAACTAGTTGTCAGCAGATGCTGGTTAAATGAATCCCCTTTTGAATTCTGTATTCCACGATATATCTTATTGACGCTATCAATGGCCACCAGATACTGTGCATCCAAAAGTAAGTTGCAAGCCTGAGTTAATCTAGTCATTAAGTGCTCAACACTCTGGGAACAGTTCTCCCTTGCAGTAAGCTATAATACTTCCCTTCTGCCTCACCGTTAATAGCTCATATGGAGGGGTTTTTTATAGGACATGTGGAAGCCAATATGCATGGGCGTCAGAGATTAAATGGAAAGTTTGGTTGACATGATCGCATTCCCATCCCTTCTCTCCTCCTTGAACCTCTTTTCCCTCCCCTTGCACTCAAACTATCCTCCATTTTTCTTCACGCTAATTAACAAGCAGGGTGGTGATTAGTCAGGAGGCAGCACACCCCACCCCTCCGTCATCCTCCAGACTCAGAGGTGTGTTTTCTCTGTGACTTGAACATGTGTTAAAGGCAGCTGGGTAGTCACTGACAGCTCCGGAGCAGTGGGGAAAAACATGCTCCCAGTCTATAGCTGCTGCTCACACACACGGCGTCTGCAGGATATGAACACACACACAGACTCAGTGAAGAAAGCTGTCGCATGTGCCCCGATCCTCACACACATCTGGGTTCTCTTTGAGATATTTCCCCATTTTGAAACACACCGACACACACATACATAAATACATGCTCCTGTTCCCCCATTTCCCCTATTGGAAGATACACGCCCAAACACATACTCAAAACACGTCATTATCTCACATTTTTTGTTTATCATCCACTCGACACCATGTTCACACAAACACATTTACAAAGCATTGTTTGCATCTCATTGAGGGATGGCTGAGCTTGTTTCACAGTGCTACAAAGACAGCAGGAGGGGAGAGATGGAGACATAGACAAACAAAAAGCAAGCCCAGACGTAAACAGATAGCCAGACAGGCATTCTGCCTTTGGGTTCGTGATTCAGAATACTAACAAGGCGTCTCAGCTTACACCCAGGGATGGAAGGTGTGATGTAGGGCAGAACCAAGCAATGGGAGGGGAGGGGAGGGACGATATACCCTTGGAATCTGAGTGGTCGCCTCGAGTTCCTCCCTGAATTTTTACTGTACCCGATTGGCTGGTGGACTCTGATTGGCACGCTGACAAAAAAGGGACAGTGCTTGCGTATTTATACCAAATCAAGTATGCTTTTAACCGAGAACATGGGTATGTCTGTATCTGGCCACCCAGGAAGTAACATCAGTAAGGTTCCCTGTTTCCTGTAATATACATTTAACAACTTTTTCTTTTTTACCATTTGATGTCAGATTAATATACGAGTCAAAACTCCAGCTTCTCCTGGGATTCTCTCTCGTGTTCAATCCCACCATGGCTTTGTATTAATGACTCCCATACAAAAGCAGTTTTAATTTGTTAATTAATTTGTTATCTTTGCATTAGTCATTTGGTTTGGTGCATCACATGGCACGTTGTTTTTGCATATTTCATTTCACTGTATAACATGCGGTCTGATTTAATGGTGGATCCCTTATGGGAATTAATGATGATTTTTAAATGGATATTTTGATTCATATTTTTTCCTCAAAGCGTTTATTTTAGGTCACTTAAATCATGTTGGATTTTTTTTTTTGTAAGATGCATACTAAGTGAATTTTACACAACGACCGTAAGAATCCATCTGATGCTATTCACCACAGACACGTTCATTGTACTAAATACTGTATTATGCAAATAATTAATTAAACCAGTCCTGGCTCACAAACGCACAGTGATCAAGAGCTGGGCAATACTCTGTATGAATACAATTAACCATCATCTGCATTACAATAACATCATAAGATTTTGCCAACAATGAATCCTTCATTTTGTTTGGTCTCTAATGAGCATTTCCTAAAATATCTCCATGAAGCAGCAACATTCAGACCAAAAATATTGTCATCTTACTGGTGTATTAGAAGCTCTGCATGCTGTTCTATAGAACAGCACAGGGACATAAGATCGTGTATGTGTGCATGATAGAAAGACTTCAGGCAGAATTTGTAAAATACCAGCATATTGTTTTTGTCATTTCTTCCCGGACTGATTAAGAGGCAGAACTCTGGCTGTGGGAGAGACAATGACAGCAGAGAATCAACTTCTTTATCCCCTCCTTTGCTTGCCTGAGCGGAGAACTATGGAGGTTTTTGTGTGTTTTGCTTATTACTTTGGAAAATGAAATGACAAAAAGAGTTTGAGGTTTAAGATTTAAAGGGTTTAATTCAAGGGTATTTTTCACACATCAATTGAACAGTAATGAGTCCCACTATTTAAAGGTGCAGTTAGAGAGATTTTTACTGCCACATAACACAAAATGACCGTTTCAACAATCACGCCCTGCAGCTTGACAGCAGTGCTGATCACTATGAATGCGAGGAGATTTCTAAAGCTTTTCAAACTCACTTTGTAGCACAGAGGATTAAAAATGTTGTGTGCATCTTTCGATTTATTTTTTAAAGTGACTTTAATCTGTATTTTTAAAATGGCAATGGAACAAATGGTTAAGTGTGATGGGATGTGAAAGGGAACATGTAGTGAGGAACCTGCAGTTTTTCTCACCTGGACAGAGATAAAAGCTTCATGGAGAATGCTTGATACCCTATTGAATGATTCTGATGTCTCTATTGGAGTAAATGGAAAAATAATTTTCAGCCCAGTCACCAGAATTAAATATTAGTATTGTATGTTTCTGCAAACCACGTCAACATCATATTTCTACATTTTGTACATATCATATCACAGTTGTAAGGTGACAATGTATTTGAGCTGACTTTGTCATCGAGGTATGGAGGGGATGGTGGGTGGCCCGTCACTTAGACGCCTGCCAAACTAAATACCACTGTTTGAGACCAACAAATAACAAAACCGACTGTTCTGTCAGGACCACTTTAGTCACTTTAATTGCCATTTGCAGTATTATTTTTGGCGGTATGGCTCTGTTCTGGGGCTTCTCTGCCCTTCCACATGCCTACTTAGAAAGTCTCTTTCATGCGCCTACGAAGAAAGCCTGAGGCAGAGAGAGCAAACCTTCCTGCCCTTCCATGTGCCTACATGGAAAGCCTAAGGCAGGGAGAGCAGCAGCAAAGACCCCCTGGGAACAGAACAGAGCAGCATCGATGACAGAAATGACATTGATAAGTGCAACATTTTTCTGGTAATTGGATTGCAATTTTCACACTAAAACAGGTACCAACAATGCAGCATGCCACCTAATATGCACAACACTAAACCTACCATGGCAGGAGCATTTTGCTTTGGCTCCACAAAATCACTGCACAGGCCAAAATTTAAAAAATGAACACCCAGTGAAAACACAGGTGCATTAACATTACCATCAGCTTTGAGCCAGCGTGAAATAAGAGGACCATATACTGTGTCCTATTTATTTTCATCAATGGTGCAGTTCCATACTGCATCACAGAGAGAACAGGAGGGATAAGAAACTGCACATATTGAGGCAAGACACACTGAACAAATGGAGGCTGAAACTGCAGCTTGAGATGTAAAAACAAAGAAAAATGACAGTCTATCACAGTCTTCACTCTTATCCCAGCCTTAACCAACAACTTGTGATCTCCACTGCTGCTCAGTTTGTTTTACAGAGCTCAGTTGTTGTTGGCACTGTCGTTGTTGTTTCTTTTATTTTTTTTTCTTCAAACTATCAGGTTGAGCTGAGCTGAGTGAGACCGAATGGTCCACTTCTGCCTGTCACTCATCCAGTGCATTAAACTGTACGTGAGATCGGTGACACCAGTGGAAATGTGCTGGACAGATATTGACAGATAATGTGCGAGCGTAAATCCCCGCAGTTCACCTACAATATGTCATCGGCCGATGAAGCAGAGGAAAATACAGACAACTCTGACATATCGCTCAGTCATGTACGAGTTTATGTTGAAACAGACACATCAAAGCAAATCCCCCAATTGTCTCCCCTAAGCCGCGAAAGAGCAGAGGGATGGATCAGCCCACTGAATGTGTGTGAGTATGGCCACTGTTGGAGACAGGAATAAAAAATGCCTAAGTCCTCTTTGAGACAAAAACTATTGAGGATTGTGCCAAACTAGGGTGAGTGCAGAGGAACAACTCCACACTTTTTTATTTATGACCTGATTTTTATGTGTAACTTTACAAGTAAGTTTTTCAAGGCTTTTTTTTATTCATTCAGTTATCAGCACAGGATTGGTAAAAATCCCCAATCATTAACAAGAATTATTCATGTATAATAATGTGTAACGACGAGGGTATTGCTCGGATATTGCAGCATGCACAGTCAAACTTCAAATGTCATAATTTCGGTGGATATATTTATGACAGTTGCTGAGGGATCTGCAGGCATCAACAGTGCAGGGATATTTATTTGATGATGAAGGCAAATATCTGGACTGTGCCAGGACGTTGTTTATATGAGTGTTCCAACTGTGGCAGCTTCACATCCACCGTAGATCTTGAGTCGTCTGCATCACGCCAAGTACTCTCCATCACAGCACCCCATTTCTTCCACTGGGACCTGGCATTCCTGTCAGTCATGTGCTATCAGTGAGGCTGCAGGCGCTGCTTAGGCCTGCCCAACTATCTTCCCCCCTTCCGTTCTCTTTCTTCTCACCCCACCCCTCTCGACAGTTTCTGTGTATCTCCCTCCACCACCTCAGTCCTCGGTGAGCACTCCACTTTTTACAGTCCATTCAGTCTTCTTTCTAGGTTTCCTGTTCTCAGCTTTCCTTATCTGAAAGTCTCTGCAGCTGATGGTTCACGCTGTACTCTGGTACTTTTTGCTTGGTTTGTCTTACATCTAATCTTGCTCTCTGTCTCTTTTTTTTCTCCCCCTCTCTTTCTTGCAGGTGTAAGGAGGGCTACCATGGATTACGCTGTGACCAGTTTGTACCCAAGACAGATGCTATCTTGTCAGACCCAAGTACGTTCTCCTTGCTATTTTTTTTATCCTACAATATCTGTGTATTGATCTGCGACATGAAAACAAATTCATGAGAACATGTTACATGCCCCTGAGCGAATCTCTGACTGTACTGTATCAGTCAACAAGATAAATATAAATCAAGTGGGATCAGGCAAACGTTAACTCTTGCAGCACAGGTTTGTGGAGTACTCTTGGACGTAAGACTTTATAAAAAATAGCTTCTGGGGCACTCTGGGAGCACAATGCACAGAACTCACTCACTCATGTGAGGCAGGCCATCGCCTGATTAGCTAAGTCAGAATGCCTCACCGAAAATCAGGCGCTCCTTAAAGAAAATCCAAGGTACAAAGAGAACAAGAACATGAAAGGAGAAGAGAGGCAATGGCCAAAAATCTGGCAAGTAAAATATGAAGAAATACCAGGTATGACAGGTGAAGCTGAAGGTGAGAAGTGAGACAGAGGTAAATATTTAGCAAAATAAGCAGTAGCTCAGTCCTTAGGAACTTGGGTTGGGAACCGGAGGGTCGCCTGTTCAAGTCCCCGTCCGGACCAAAATATGTAGCGTGGACTGGTAGCTGGAGAGGTGCCAGTTCACCTCCTAGACACTGCCGAGGTGCCCCTGAGCAAGGCACTGAATCCCCCAACCGCTCGGAGCGCCTGTCATGGGCAGCCCACTCTGACATCTCTCCACTTAGTGCATGTATAAGTCCAGTTTGTGCATGTGTGTGTTCGGACCTGTGTGTAATTGACAACAGAGTGAAAAATTTAATTTCTCCTTGGGGATTAATAAAGTATATAAAAATAAACCTGCTGTTTTGGGCTCAGTTCTAAAACTACAGTGAAGACAAGTATCATATTGCATTAGAGGACCTAAGGCACCCATTGGTACCAACCGTGTTAAGGTATCTTGTCTTGAAGGGGGTCAAATAATGCTCCAAAGTTATGCTAATTTTTGGCGAGGGGAGTTGACAGCCATGTCCTCCTGAGACCCTGTGTCCTCATATGAGGACATCACATTTTGGGTTTACTGCACCTTATACTTCATTTTACTTAACTTTGACCTGTTGTCCTCGTTCATGGACACATTTTATGCCATCTAGGGGTAGTAAGAGCACAATACACTAATCTATGTAAAACAAGATGGCAGCCATCTCTGCCAAGTCAGCCTGCAGCCGATCCCGACACAAAAGTTGACAAGGTTTAAAACCTGATCAGATTTCTTGGTTTAAACTTGTTTATTTATGATTAATTATATTTGACCAATTTTGGCAAATGTAACAAGCTAAGATATTGTTAATTAGGAAGTACGTGTTTGAGGACATTGGGACTTAATTACCGTTGACAATGTTTAGTTTTTTATACTTATCAGGTCCTACTAATCCCAAGATGCATACCAAATAAATGTTCGGGTCTCAGGGAGACATACTCTTAACACTATTTCAGCTCTGCACACAATTTGACTAGTCTTTAAAGTAGCCCTCAATACTGAATGAATAACTGAAGAGAGAAAATAGTTGTTCACTCCTGATTTGATGTTGTGATTTAATACCTCGCCTCAATCAGTGACTGATTTTACTCTTCTTTAATTATTCAATGGAGGGCAATTTTTCAGCCCCGAGGACTGGTCTGCTTTTCAAAATAAGGAAACAAGGTCTTAACAGTAGGTACAAGTACAAGTACAAATTAAAAAAAAAAAAAAAACACATTTCATTTGAATTTGATTAATTGCCTGTATTTCTTAATTGCTGGTCCGTCTTCCCCCAAACAAGAACAAGAGCTCATGAGAAATAGACACAAATAAAGACCTTAGCTAACAAACAATAATGGAAAAAAACAAACAGTAAAATCAGAATCAGAATTAGAAACACGTTATTGATCCCTGAGGGGAAATTATGATTCACTACAGTTGCTCCAATGTAAAGAATAGAAAATTATAAGAAGTAGGATTAAGAGGATTAAGAGGATGAAATAAAAGTGTGTAAATATAAATCAATAAATAAAATAAAGGGGAAATTAAATGTGCATTAAAATGATAATAAAATGTGCACTATGCTACCATGTTTAACACTAGTACTTAAGCTATAAGATTAAAGTATTAAAATAAAATGTATATTGTGACTGTGCTGAGGCTGTAAGTGTGATAATTTAACTATAATATATCCATCAGTAGAATAAACAACAATAGCAGAAAGTAAACATAAGATATATGTACAGTTATGCGCATTGTATTTTGAATTAATATAAACATTCAAGCAGTGAAAAATATTGTACAGTTGAATATTTGCTCCCAGGAGATAATTAGGAATTATAAGTGCACTAGGTTAAAAAGTCCAAATGCCAGTCTATTGACTCAGAGCGGCTGATACTCTGAGGGAGGAGTTGTACAGGTTGATGGCAACTGGCAGGAGTGACTTCCTGTGGCGCTTTGTGGTGCATCTTGGGGGAATGAGTCTGTCACTGAATGTGCTCCTGTGTCTGACCAGCACATGGTGGAGTGGGTGGGAGACATTATCCAAGATGACACGTATCTTAGACAGCATCCTCCTCTCTGACACTGCCACCAGAGTCTCAGCTCCACCCCACAACGTTACTGGCCTTTCAAAGCAATTTAATGATAATTAATAATACAATGTGTACAAATTCTATCCTTTCTTTTTTCTGTTTTTTGGACTGCACCCTGGATGGCTTTTGACTTTTCATTTTCTGACCCCTTCGACTAATGTTATTTAGGTTTTTTTTTTCGTTTGTTTGTTTTTTTTTCTAATGTCAAACCAAAAAAAAATTAGGGAGGAGTTGGAGGAACAATTTGGTGGCCACCTCTGTTGCCAGTGGGAAGATCCACCACTGCCAACAAGGCACCTTTGTTGCATTCGCTTCCTTTCTTTCTCTCTTCCTTCATTTCCTCTCAGCTCTCTCCTGTTAACTCGTTAATGAAATCATATAACACCCTAAAAACTAATTTCCAGCAAAGAGAAATGTTGCTAATCATTGTACACCAAGCTCTTGTTGAATAGATAGAATTTCTCATTATTAGTACAGAATAGACAGAAAAGTACTTACGTACTGCCTTAGATTAAAAAAAAAGGTTGATTTCTCTCACATTTTAATTTTTTGCCCCTTAAAGGACAACTTCGGTATTTTTCAACCTGGGCTCTATTTCCCCATGTGTATGTGTGCATATGATTCATGGGTACCACTCGTTCTAAAATTGGTTCAGTATTGAAAAGCAAACCTCACGGACTGCATTTTTTCATCTGCGTAATATTGCGAAAATTAGGCCTATCCTGACCCGAAAAGATGCAGAAAAATTGGTCCACGCTTTTGTTACCTCAAGGCTGGATTACTGTAACTCTCTATTATCAGGTAGCTCTAGTAAGTCCTTAAAAACTCTCCAGCTAATTCAGAATGCAGCAGCACGTGTACTAACAGGAACTAAGAAACGAGATCATATTTCTCCTGTTTTAGCTTCTCTGCACTGGCTCCCTGTAAAATCCAGAATTGAATTTAAAATCCTACTGTTAACTTATAAAGCTCTAAATGGTCAAGCTCCGTCATATCTTAGAGAGCTCATAGTGCCTTATTATCCCACCAGAACACTGCGCTCTGAGAACGCAGGGTTACTCGTGGTCCCTAAAGTCTCCAAAAGCAGATCAGGAGCCAGAGCCTTCAGCTATCAGGCTCCTCTCCTGTGGAATCATCTTCCTGTTACGGTCCGGGAGGCAGACACCGTCTCCACATTTAAGACTAGACTTAAGACTTTCCTCTTTGATAAAGCTTATAGTTAGGGCTGGCTCAGGCTTGCCCTGTACCAGCCCCTAGTTAGGCTGACTTAGGCCTAGTCTGCCGGAGGACCCCCTATAATACACCGGGCTCCCTCTCTCTCCCTCTCTCTCTCTCTCTCTCTCTCTCTCTCTCTCTCTCTCTCACTCTCATCCTATTACTGCATCTTGCTAACTCGGCCATTCTGGATGTCACTAACTCGGCTTCTTCTCCGGAGCCTTTGTGCTCCACTGTCTCTCAGAATAACTCATACCGCAGCGGTGCCTGGACAGTGTGACGTGTGTGGTTGTGCTGCTGCCGTGGTCCTGCCAGATGCCTCCTGCTGCTGCTGCCATCATTAGTCATTAGTCATACTTCTACTGTTATTATACACATATGACTATTGTCACACAAGTATACTGTCTGATACTAATACATACTTTCAACATATTGTACCACAGTAGCCAGAACTATAACTATAATATTATTACTTTCATTAATGTTGTTGTAAGCTACTGTCATTACCTGCATCTCTCTCTCTCTCTCTCTCTCTCTCTCTGTCTCATTGTGTCATATGGATTACTGTTAATTTATTATGCTGATCTGTTCTGTACGACATCTATTGCACGTCTGTCCGTCCTGGAAGAGGGATCCCTCCTCAGTTGCTCTTCCTGAGGTTTCTACCGTTTTTTTTTTTCCCCGTTAAAGGGGTTTTTTTTGGGGAGTTTTTCCTTATCCGCTGTGAGGGTCTTAAGGACAGAGGGATGTCGTATGCTGTAAAGCCCTGTGAGGCAAATTGTGATTTGTGATATTGGGCTTTATAAATAAAATTGAATTGAATTGAAATTGAATATTGAGCCGCGAAACAAGCTAAAACGGTAATGGGGCCAAATGCGTCCCATATAAAAGTGCTTTTTTTCGCCACTGACCGGTTCAGATCGCCAGTGCTATCTCTGTAAATAGCATATGGTAGCGGCCCTGGGGCAGTGGTGAGTGTGAATGAGTGGAGTCAGCTGTCAGTCAGTGTTGGAGCAGAAAGGCGGAAGTTGTCCCCGCTCTGTATTGTAAATGAGTATGTGTGTGTGTGACGTGTGTGTTTTTTCGCCACTGACCGGTTCAGATCGCCAGTGCTATCTCTGTAAATAGCATGCTAACTTAGCCTTTCCCTTACCTCAGGGCTGTGTGATGTCACGAGCTTTGCTCCACTGTGTCTGTAGCTCTCTCTACTCGTGGGACAG